AACAATGAGAAATATTCTCATGAATATTAAACACAACAACCTCTGAACATTAGGAGCGGGGCTGTCAGCATCAGCTTGTAGATGGTATTTTAAACTCGATATGCTCTGAAACTACGGGGCGGCCGAGGACAAAAAAATACACATGCGTTAATCGCGTTAAAATAATTAGTGGCCTTAATTTTTTGTTGCGTTAACGCGTTATTAACGCGTTAACTTGACAGCCCTAGTTAAAATATACATGGTTCATTTCCAGATAAAGGTAACCCTAGCCACAGTTATAGAAACTATGATTAACACATTATATAAATCATCTGTTATCATCCCTGCCCTGATAATTATACAGGACGAACAAGAACATGGCATCAGTAATGACTTATATGTCAGGTCGGCTGTTGATGGTTTTATGTGTGGGAGGATTTGCTAAACCAACTAACTCACATTGGGCCTTGGTGTGTTTAAAATGCCTGTTTGTGTCCATAATGTGCTTGTTGAGTGTGTTCTCACACACAGCGGCCTGTATGAGTAATGCATTGTGAGCCAGCCATCCGGCTCATTATTTTTTGTGGGGATCAGCCATTTACAGGGATTCTGGGCTCAGGCTCCTTGTTTGAGATACAACGAGGTGATTATTTGGGTAAAAGGGCAGCAGAAACCTCCAGGATGTGGAAATTATGATGCTGCAGAAAAAGTCCAGCAGCCAAATGGCATCCTGCCCACTCCCCCCCCCCCCAAAACAACCTAGACTCATTCTAATTTGTCAAGTCCCTATAGCAGCTTGTAATATAGCGTAGCGCCCCCCTGGAAAAACGTTCCCAACAACTCCTGTCTAATATCAACAAACACGGTGCCTGGTCTGACAAAGAAAACGGAAAAGTTGAGTCGCCTGGCATTTTCACCGACTGCCACGCATTCTTTGCTAACGAGGAGAAAAGGAACACTGCTCAAACTCTTTCTAAAACAAAGAAAAGGGCGGGGGGGCACTGTTTTTCAGTTTCCTCATCAGAAACACTAACAAACACTGTCTCAACCCATTTGTGGTGAGCAGCGAGAGATGCTTGCCTTCATACATAATGTTTTTATGTATGACTGTGCATATGATACACTGTAAACACCCCCAAAAGTTACCAGAGCTCGATAAAATGAAACCAACTGATTTACTTTATTCTTTTGTTTTGATGAAAACGTTTCTAGAGCTTAAATATGTTGATGACATACAGACACATGCATCAATAAGCAATGGTACAATTTATCTTTGAATTGGAGCTTACTTAATCCCCAAAATAAACCTTGTTAATCATAGATTATCTGTTTAATGAACTCAAAGACTATAACATTTCCTGTGCACACACCTGTGGGTTGCATCAGTGTGTGTGTGTGTGTGTGTGTGTGTGTGTGTGTGTGTGTGTGTGTGTGTGTGTGTGGTGTGGTGTGGTGTGGTGTGGTGTGTGTGTGACACACACACCACACCACACCACACCACACCACACACACACACACACACACACACACACACACACACACACACACACACACACACACTGATGCAACCCANTACTTATTGAAAACAAGCTACAAAATGTAACACCTTGGAAAATGCCCTTTAATACTTTTTAATAGCCTTCATTTTCGCTAAATTGATTTATCAACTTTTAGTACTTTTTAAGACCCTGCGGACACCCTGAGTCTATATTGTCATGTCCATAATTGCAGAATACAAGATACGAAATCAGGTAAGTTTTTCCAGGAGGGTTCTTCCCCGGTGATAAGGGATTTTTATTGCTCAAATAAAACAGCTTTGAGATCAGAATACAACATCTTGTGTTGATAATCACACAAGTTTTATCTTTTAATCACAATGTCTAACGGCCGTGATGAGACACAGGATGAGCTCGCCCTAAAGTATACTTTAATGATAATGTTTTAACCAAAAAAAGTGCCAAAAGTGAACGTTTTGTGAATCTTTCCACAATTTCAAGCGAGTAGGTATATTAGTTTGGACGGGACATCTTCTATTCCTGCAAATAATTACATGATCATCGTGTACGTTTGTATTACTACTAGTGTTAGTGTGTGCTCGCTAAGCCTGTTGTAGGTTGGGACTTCTCAGCAGATCCACTTTACTTAATACTGATATTTTGGCATATTTCGCATTTACCAAATATTATGCATTGTGCAATTAACTGTGCGGCCCCACAAGAATCACTAAAATCAGGGTTTCCTTCTGACCTTCTTCAAGAAAATAAAGTTTGAGATAAGAAAAGTTGAAACGTGTTGTTTTGCATTTCCATTCTTTCCATCACGATGTCTTGCGGTCATGTTGAGAGACAGGATGAAGTAGCCCTAAAGTATACTTATACTACCACTGTTAATACTTTTACCTAAAAAAGTACAGAATGACAAAGTACTCGTGTGATATTGCCCTTGAACGGGTTTCATTACATTTTTAAGCGAGTAGGTTTATTAGTTTGAATGGGACAACTTCTATTCTTGCAAATAAATACATGTTTATCGTTTAAAAAGACGTTTGTATTACTACTGGTGTGTTACTGTGTGTGTGTGTGTGTGTGTGTGTGTGTGTGTGTGTGTGTGTGTGTGTGTGTGTGTGTGTGTGTGTGTGTGTGTGTGTGTGTGTGTGTGTGTGTGTGTGTGATTGACTGCNGGGGAAATGCAAGTCTGCGTCCAAATGGTTGGAAGATAAGGAGGAAGCACAATCAATACTGTATATAGTCAGTGTGAGGGAAAGTGTGTCGCCAAGGTAACCGGTTAGAACTCTTAGTGGAGATGAGGTCTTAAAATGTATGGAAAGGGTCCAAAGATCCAAAAATACTTAAAGTTCCAAATATACTTCAAGTTCTAAAAATACTTAAAGATCCAAAAATACTTAAAGTTCCAAATATACTTAAATTTCCAAAAATTCTTAAAGATCCAAAAATACTTAAAGTTCCAAAAATACTTAAAGTTCCAAAAATAGTTAAAAATACTGAAAA